TAGTAAGGACAATAAAAGCTATTTCTGCCCTGAGACCGTTCCCCCGGAAAGCCAGCTGAACCCATGCCCTCAGTGTGAAGCTGGAGGCACCCTTGTCTTTTTATTAAGTGGCAAGGTTAATAGATATTACCAGGAGAGTCATTTTACTGAACATCATACCCCCACGAGTTGACACCTCTTGCTTCCGGCTGTTTCGCACCTGACGCTCCAGGAGAGGAAGTCCTAGCATGTAATTAGCCAGCGAGCCAGCCGGCGGGGTGAATACTCGATAGAAGACCGGAGAGCCTGGAAGTGTTAAATAACGCACTGTGCGTTATTTATCCGCAGAGCAGATGTCTACCTATCCAGAGCAGGGCGACAGCTTTTGGAGAAGCTAGAGCGTGAGTAAGGTCATTATTTTTTTAGAGAGAAGGGCGGAGCAAATGCCAAATATGGTTAAAATATAGAGAACAGTTCAATAACAGTCCTGAAAGTCCTGAGGTACTCTGAGCTTGAGGAAAACCTTCAACGCCTAGCATTTGAACAAACCAGAACCTCCTTAGCAACTTGGGGGAAAAAAAAAAAGCCCACTGCTTTGTGTCATCCATGTATTCTCTGGAAAAGCCTTGCCAAGTCTGTCATTTGGGAAAGGTTTTCAAGGCGCTCTCTGCCTAGGGGGCATGCCCAGGTCTCACGACTGATCAGAAGGTCAGGGTCATCTGCAGTACACAAAGAGCCTTGTCCACGCTGGATTGCAGCTAGCAAATCGCCACCGTGTATTTATCCCCACAGCAGACAAGCAGTAGGGTAGACAGGGCTCAGATGAGGAAACCGGTGTTGCCTGGGGTGGTGAAGTGGAGACTTTGATCTTGTCCCAGATCTTTATTCTGATGTTTCCTTAGGTTTTTTTTTCATGAGGTGCAGAGGTTGTAGACGAATGTGTCGCTCCAGGATCGGCACGGGGATGCCTGTGAGGCCCCTGCTCCTCCCTCCTTCGGAGGTCTTTGTCTGCTCGTGTGGTTTGATGACACGCATGGTGGTGGTTTAGGAAGAGAAGCCCTCACTCGCGGCCACCACCACAGCCCCATGGTTACCTAGGGCCATGCAGCCGGTCCCGGCTTTGGTGAGGAGGATCACCGCAGTGGTGCCCAGCCGGAGATGGCAGCGACTGCTGCTGGGCCACTTGGCTCTGGTGCACAAGAAGGGCCACTCACGCGCCGAGCAGATGCCTTTCCTCAGCAACACGTAGAGCAAAGCCTTGCTGCTCTCTGCTCCCGCGTTTCGCTGCAGCAAGCCTGCGTTGTTCCCGTAAGCTCGGCTAGGGATTCCCTATAGTCTCCACCCAGCTCAATTTAAATATTGTCTCTCTCTAGAGAAATTTCTTGAAGATGGCCCATGAAGGCAAAAGGAAGCCAGCTCGCTTGCCCCTTAGGGTACAGAAAAAGTGTGCAAATTGCTGCAGGGTTTTAAAGGTTTCTGACAGTTTTTTAACATTTAAAAAACAGATGCCACAAGACTGGGTAAGTCGGGCACTCTGTTTCTTGGGGAGAGGGTTGGGTTTTGGGCGAGAGGTGTGGAATAAGATGAGGAAATTACATGCGATTAGGATTTTCCTATTGAAAAACTTACATGTTTTTCTTCCTGGAAAAAAAAAAAAAATTTTACCAGTTTTCTCTTAGTTTTCTAATAGAAAACTGTATTGTTTGGGTAAGAGAAGACCAGTTCTGGTTTCTCACCCTAACCACAGGAAAAAAAAAGGTCTGAAAACAGTTACAGTATGTTTTTTCTTGTCTTGCATAAGATGTATAAGCTGCCCCAAGGGCCTTTACCTAGTAAATTTATCTCCTTTTTTGTTTTATTACTGTAAATGACAATACATTACCCTTGCTTATTTATTTGCTATAGCTGGTTCTTTTATTTGTGGTTTTTTTTTTAATCTTCTTGTTTGCATCTTCCTTCTCTTATCTTCTGCTTGCCCCAGAGGCTTATTGCTGCTTTGGCAACACGCTAACGTGTTGAGGAATGATAAGATGTCTAATTACTAGTTTAATTAGCAGTACAAGTTCTTAATAGCTTATTAAAGGAAAATCACTCAGAAAATTCTTTTCCTCTTTTTGCACTAGTATAATATAATTTATGGGCAAATGGCTTTGAACAATATTCAGACTTTCAGTAAGGAAACTGGTGTCGGATTCGTGATTTCATGAGGGACTTTGCAGCACTAATACTATTTTTTGTTTAAAAACAATTTAACAGAATAACAAAAGCAATTCCTAGGGAACAACGCCATTGGGGTGTGGCAGGCAGGACCCTGAGATCGTGAAAGAGGAATTAAGCAAAACTTCCATCCCCACTTTTGCACATAAACTCAACTTAGGTAAAGGTAAACTTGCTCTTTAAGAGGCTCCGGCTGAAATGTCACATCGCCTGGAACATTCTGCTCCGGAGCAGTTGCTGTTGCAGAGAGCCAGTCAGTTCAGCAACGAAGAGACAAAGATCTCTCTCCTTTCCTTACAACCTTTTCTGCTAATATTTGTTAAAACTGATTGGTTTTATATAAAGGAATCCGTGGGTGATAAAGGCCAGAGGAGCAAGCACCACCTAAAATCCCCGTGGATCCTTCTTACCTCTTCCAGTAAGAAACTGAGCATTAAATCTTGTTTCACAGGCCAAAGGCATAAAACATAAATGTCAAAGAGGAATCAAGCTGAATTGCGCTGTTCTGTTTCATCTCAAATTCTACAATCCGTGGTGGTTTTTTGTGACCCACACAAAGATTTCTTTCTAAATTTATCACTGCATTCATCGGCAGTCCCACTTAGTGGCAGATTAGGAGGCTGGGCAGGCAGGGCCAATTCAAATGAGGACAGGGTAGCCTGAAAAAACACGCCGCGGATGACGCAGACAGCAAGCTCAGGGCGCCGAGCAGAGACGGGGGCAGGAGTGATCTCAGCCCGCTTCCCTCGGTGCTGGCTGTTAACCTCTTTCTTCCAGATTATCCTCTGCAGAAGCTCAGATGGAAACGCTGGAGGCTCGCTCCGGCGGCAGCGCAGCGCTGAGATTGCAGCGCCTGAACTCCAGGCCGCTTCCAGGAAGATTCATTCATCTCTCAAGGCCGGGTGCTGACTCCTCTGGGGAATTTCCATTGAGTGTGTGCTCCCTCCTGTGTACCAACAGGCGTCCTGGGAAATGCCAGGGAGAGAGCGGCGCTCCTTTGCAATAGCTGCAAACATGGGAGTAGCATTTGGCTACAACTATGCATACATGCCTGTGCAGCAACCCCACGCACGAGCATGATTTTTTCAGTCTCATGAGATCCTGTGCTCATACCTGCATGTAGTGACTGTCTTGCGCTCCTGCCCACCTGGAGCTGCTGTCCTTTGCCACCTCCAAGGACCGTTCATTTCTGTGGGACCAGACCTGTCGTTTTGTTCTGTGTTCGTACAGCCCCTGTCCTAATGGACACGATAAAGACCAGTATAATCTCTACCGCCACGAAATGTGCGGCTGCCTGTTAATGTTAGCCTTATAGTTAGAGCTGAACCTCTACACAGGGAATATGCTCTGTGTTTGGAATCACACAGGGAAATTATGCAGTTACAAGGACGGCATAATTGAGAGAATGCTTGACTAGCGCAATTTTCTTATGTGCCTGTCAGCAAATCACTTAATCTCTGCTGTGTTTCCCATTTGTTAAATGGGGATGATTATCCCTCAGCTTCCTAAGAGGTGGCGAGAATAACACCCACTAATAATTGTGGAGCTATTGGAAGGTGGCCACACAGATACGTAACGCCACACAGAGAAACTCCAGGAGCGAAAAGAATGAACGGCGTTTTAAAACCGACCTTTAGAAATGAATTTCTCTTCCTGCTGCTTTTTTATTGAAGAAGATCCCAAAATAGACTGGCCTCTCCAGTGCAAGATTTTAACAGATTTCTTTGGAACTCCCTTGATCGGGGCACCCGAGGGCCTTCCTGCGAGAAAGAGCCGAGAGCTCACGCGCTTGTGCACGGCGAGGGCGCCGCGCGGGCGCTCCGCGGCCGGAGCGCACCTGCCTGGGCAACCGCGGAGCCTTTCCCGGCCGGCGCGGCGGGAAGGCACC